TCTGGCATTCTTGGGCACTGTCACTTTGGTGTCACTTCCGTCTTGCACCTCATTCCTGTTAGCTTATCATCAAAAACTCTTCCTGAAATACTTTTTTGACACTGCTAAAGTTATTTATTTTTCTAAGCGGTTCCTTCATGCACATCCTTATTAACAAATGAAATATCAGCTCAGATGAACTTTCTTCTGAGAAGCACTGCCTTCTCCTAGCTGATACAGTGTTCAACATTCAGTACAAGATGCAACTTCAATACAATCCAACATATAACGGTGTATTAGGATTGTTGGGTTACCCAGTTCCTCACAGGACTATAGGCATCTTGAGAGCAGGGACTGTATCTTCTAAATCTTTGTGCTCTTAGTATCAAGCATGCAGGACCTCATTTATTTAGGAGATTCTAAATAAATATGGGAAAACTGATAGAAAAAGGGCATTTTGCTGGATAAAGTATTTCTGAAACAGGCAGGCATGTAATTTAAAAGATGGTGAGTAGATGATACAGACTGAAGACCTAACAAAGGAAGAATAAAATTCCTTGAGTAAAAGAACAAAGCAGAAATCTCATATGTCTTACGTGATGAGATGATAGTTGGAATTAGTATCAAATCCTGAAGTGGCGTGAGAGATCATATTTTTCCAAGGAAAGGAAAGGAGGCCCAACAATACTTAGCAAATGCTGACTGCAGCAAAAGACTTGGCCCTGGATAAAGACAGGAAGAGTGACTAAGCTGTGTTTGTCTAGGAAGTAGTTTATGGAACTTTTTTAAACAAAGGCAGTGTTTTGTTTGGGGGAATAATTGAAACATTTCCATTCCATCCTTGTCTTGACAATCACATTCCAAACCAGAGGACTTTTAACAGAAGCTTACACTCCACCTGTGATGCAATGTATGTACAGTCCTGCACCACAACTGTGCCCTGGACAACCGCCCTCCCACATTGACCCAGCCTGGCCTGCCTCTCCTGTCACCTTGACTTAACGCACCTGGCCCTGCCATTGTGACACATCACCCACCCCCTCACCCCCAGACAGTTGGGCCTGCCATCGCAACCTGGCTGCCTGACAGGTGCCCTGGACTACATCAAAATAAAAAGCTTTGTCTGAAGACAAAAAATGGACACAGGATTAGTAAATGAGTTCATAGAGTGAAGGATGACAACCTTTTTATGTATCTACAGAGGAGATTACTGTGAGACAGTTTACTCTGTAGAACTGGGCTCAGGAATTGGAGGTACAGGGGTGAAACTGAGCTAAAAAGAGCGATTGCTTGAAATGCCTATAATGTATAATTGTTAGGCCAGTTCCTTACCATCGCTCCACCCCTGCAGAAAATAGAAAACACATGTTCTGGAGAACACTGGGTTTTACTGAGCTCCTGGTCCATCAGGAATGGAGTGTTGGAGAAGCAAGGGCAGAGAGAGATGGCCTTGTACCTCACTGGATGAAAAGTTACCTCTAATCACATGTGTCAAACACAAGGCCCGCGGGCCAAATCCGTCCCGCCAGGCCTTGCAATGTGGCCTGCACCGCGCTGTCATCACTGCACTCCGCTGCGTTTCCATCACAATGACAGTTTATGACTGTTCAGTAAACCATTCGGCCCGCGATTTAGGCTGGATTTTAGATTTTGGCCCCTTCTCTGATTGAGTTCGACACCCCTACATAGAGAAAACTCTTATAGAGCTTAACTCGGAGTGTATTAGGCAAAGCACACTCAACAAACCTGGCCAGGAGCAAAACAAGGAAAACTGCCTTTCTTGGCCTGGACCCTGGCAGAGAAAAATCTCCTCCCCCACCACCAATCTCTGCTGTGACTGTTCTGCAACTTAGTGCAAAAGCAGCTACGGACTGTGTAAATAATTACAGTGACTCAATAACTGACTGTGTTCTACTTAAACTTTAGTAATAAACCCTAAAATTTCAGTTTCATATGATTTCCACAGAAGACCTAAATAGATACTTACCAAAGTGGACATATCGATGGTCATTAACACAAAATATTATTTGCACTTTTTTTCTACCATGTAAAAATGTAAAAGCTAGTCTTAGCTCTCTTGCAATACAAAAAGAAGTAGCAGGCTGGATCTGGCCTTTGGTTCGTAGTTTGCTGACCATTAAACTAGACATTAATAAGCTTTTTAAAAACTGGAGGGTGATCACTCACCCTGTGTCCTCTCAACTCAAAAGGCAAGAAAGGAAGGGTGGGCGGGGGGAGGATAGACATAGTAGGACAAGTAGAAAGTGCAAAATAATGTCAGAAATAGTATTTAAATGTATGTAAATGGACTAAGTTTATAGGCTAACTGATGGCCAGAATGTATTTTTTTTCTCATCCAAATAAATGTTGTTTAAAAGAGTTATATCCTCTCCCAAAAAAAGAAACATACCCCAAACATAAGAGTTCATTCAAATTCAAAGTAAAAGAAAGGACACAATATACTAAGAAAATATCTGAAAAAAGAAAGCTGATGTATACCTTGTCAGACTTAATTATTAAGAACTAGAGGCCCAGTCAGTGCACTAAATTTGTGCATGGGGGGCGGGGGGTGTGTGGTGTCCCTCAGCCCAGCCTGCACTCTCTCCAACTGCCCATTTAAACCCAATCCCAGTGGGATTGGGCCTAAACAGGCAGTCTTCTCACAACCCAGGACTGCTGGCTCCCAACTGCTCGCCTGCCTGCCTTCCTGATTGCCCCTAACCACTTCTGCCTGCCAGCCTGATCATCCCCTAATCACTCCCCTGCTAATCTGATTGATGTCTAACTGCTCCCCTGCCAGCCTGTTTGCCCCCAACTTCCCTCCCTTACAGGCCTGGTCCCTCCCAACTGCCCTCCCCTGCTGGCCATCTTGTGGTGGCCATCTTGTTTCCACATGGGGGCAGGATTTTTGACATGGGGGCAACCATATTGTGTGTTGGAGTGATGGTCAATCTGCATATTACTCTTTTATTAAATAGGATAGAGGCCTGGTGCATGGGTGGGGGCCAGCTGGTTTGTCCTGAAGCGTGTCCTGGACACGCTTCCCTTGGGGTATGGGGTGGCCTGAGCGAGGGGCCTGTGGTAATTTGCAGGCCAGCCACCCCCTCTGGCAACCCAAGCAGAGGTGCTGATATCTGGAATTTATTTACCTTCTACAATTGAAACTTTGTAGCCTAGAGGGGAGGCCTAGGCCATCCAGGGTGTGCGGAAAGCTTTGCTTCTTGCTTTGCTTCTTCCATTGCCGGGGACAACCCTGGCCTCCTGCTCTTTCCAGTTCCGTGGCTGCCTCTATTTCTGTTTGGATTTGTTTACCTTCTATAATTAAAACTTTGTAGCCTTGAGTGGAGGCTTAGGCCGGCTAGGGCAGGTAGAAAGCTTGGCTTCCTCTGTTGCCTGGGAAACCGAAGCCTCTCTCCTGCCTTCTCTGGCTGTAGCCATCTTGGTTGGGTTTATTTGCATACTTGCTCTGACTGGCTGATGGGCATGGCTGATGGGCGTGGTTTGTGGGTGTAGCAGAGTGATGGTTAATTTTAGGAGGCCAGTATATCCAGACAAGTACATTATAAAAAAATAAAATTTACAGGTATTTTCATTTATGAATATGAATTAAAAAATTAGAAAATCAAGATCAACTTGTATACATATATGTATAACCCATGGACACAGACAATAGCGTGCTGAAGGCTGGGGCTGGGGGATGGGAACTGAGGGGGGTCAATGGAAAAAGGGGACATAATATAATACTTTCAACAATAAAGAATTTTTTTTTTTTAAATTAAGAAAACCAAGTCTAACATTGTTTTGAAAAAAGCATAAGACAACATAACTGAAGTTGTATTTATTCTTGGACTGCAAGCAAGTCCAGTGATCAAAAAGAAGTCAATGTTCAAATTAATCTATAAATTAAATCCAATCAAAATCCCAAAGGCATTTAAAAAAAAATAGAACTTGACTAGATTATAAGTTTTATAAACGAGTAAAGAGCCAAGCATAATGAAAAACAATTTTCAAAAAGAACAAGATGGTGGTGGGGGAGAGGGAAACTTCTCCATTAGATATTAGATTAACTATAAAGTTTCTAATACTTTATTATAAAGTAGCAGTAGTTATTTTTACTGTTCTACATCCCAGTTCCTGGCACCTAGTAGGCATTCAGAACTATCTGATAAGCAAATGAAGCGTGCCTTTGAAGGCAGCAGAAATACAGTAGATTAAAAGTGGGAAAGGAAGAGAACTGGCTGAAACAGTAAAACACACCATGGAAAGTAGGAGGATTAAAAAGATGACGAAAAACAAGGAATATCTGAGAGCAATTCTGTTGGCTCTGGTGGTAGAAGATGTGTAACATAACTGAAGTCAAGTAAGATATAGTTGTGAATGACCTTGAATTCATATGTTTTTAAATTAGGGAAGTTGCCAACAATAGACATTTTAGATTACCTGCCAGTTACTTGACTTCAAACTATAATGGCCAATGTTCTAATTCAGCTGTGCTATTGATTTATTCAGCTCATGTTTAACAAGCTCCTCCTTTGTACTCAGCACTATGCCAAGAGCTGGGATTTTAATGGTGAGCACAATCAGATACCATCCCTGCCCTCATCTGCAGTCTGCTACCATGCTAATTGTTCCATTCAGAATGTTTAGAAAAGGCTGTATCCAGCGTGAAATATTTTCAAAGCCTGGATTCACTCTTATGAAAATAAGATCTTAAAATGTACACTAACTTTAAAATTTGAAAATCACTGCTTTTCATTTTACCAGGAGTTAGAATCTATAATGATAAGCTGTATACCAAATTTTTTTTCCTAATCAAACTGCATATGATTTTTGTTATTAGAAACATATACTATCTTTTTAATTACATTTTGCTAATCATTTGTCTTGGCTGGTAATCTTTATATGTATATGAACTTTGCACAAGTGACTGGAGAAATACAGAATACATTCCTGGTATATTCTGGTGAGTATTATCAAGTATTGCCATCTCTCATCGTCTTTCCTCATGTGTCCATTTGCAGGAGTTGTATTCGCACGTTATGGTCCAGTCTGGAAACAACAGAGGAAGTTCTCTCATTCAACTCTTCGTCATTTTGGCTTAGGAAAGCTTAACTTGGAGCCCAAGATTATTAAGGAGTTCAGATATGTGAAGGAGGAAATGCAAAAACATGGAGGAGACCCCTTCAATCCTTTCCCCATTGTCCACAATGCTGTCTCTAACATCATTTGCCTCATGTGTTTTGGCCAGCGCTTTGATTACAACAATAGTGAGTTTATGAAAATGCTTACTTTTATGTCACGAGGGTTAGAAATCTGTCTGAACAGCCAGCTCCAATTGGTCAACATATGTTCCTGGCTTTATTATCTTCCCTTCGGACCGTTTAAGGAATTCAGGCAAATTGAAAATGATATTCTCGGTTTCCTTAGAAGAATGATCAAAGAACATCGAGAATCTCTGGACGCTGAGAACCCAAGGGACTTCATAGACATGTACCTTCTCCATGTGGATGAAGAGAAGAAAAACAACAGCGATAGTAGTTTTAATGAAGATTACTTACTTTATATCATCAGTGATCTCTTCATTGCTGGGACTGATACCACGACTAACACTTTGCTTTGGTGCCTTCTGTATATGTCACTGTACCCTGACATACAAGGTAATTAATAGGTGTTTCCTTTATTCATGGCAAAGTTGGGCTATATAAATTAGGATCAGCAACTTTGGTGATCCTGTGGCTCCTGGCACTAAGCAATGGAGAGGTACTATTGAAACTACACGTTTCTAGACCTTGTCATACTTACTTGCCCCTGCTTTAAATCTGTACAGGTCTGATTCTGTGTAGAAACTGTGACTAAGAAAGAACTTGAAAGAGGAATAACAATTTAGAGCTGGTGGGAATCATAATGATCATCCAAACTCATTCATCTTGTTTTTAAATATATATTTTATTGATATTTTACAGAGAGGGAGAGAGATAGAGAGCTAGAAACGTCAATGAGAGAGAAACATCGACCAGCTGCCTCTTGCACACCCTCTACCGGGGATGTGCCCGCAACCAAGGTACATGCCCTTGACCGGAATCGAACCCGGGACCTTTCAGTCCGCAGACCGACGCTCTACCACTGAGCCAAACCGGTTTCGGCTCATTCATCTTGTTTTTAAAATGGAAAACAGAGGTCCAGAGAAGTTATGTGACTTTCACAAACTCACACAGCTAGTGCCACTGCATCAATCCCAATAGGCAGTGGATGCCAGTGGCAGTGCAAAGTGGATGAACCAGGAAGATAGTGTATTCGTTTCTGTTGTTCCTATAACGGATAACTATATACTTAGTAACTCTCTTCTAGTTCTGCACATTAGAAGTTTGACACATGTCTCACTGGGCTAAACTCAAGAGGTTGACAGGGCTGCGTTCCTTCTTGGAGGCTTTAGAGGAGAATCCATTTCTGGGTTCCTTGGCTCATGGCCCTCTTTCTCCATCTTCAAAGCCAGAAATATTGCCTCTCTCTGACCACTCATCTGTAGTCCCATTTCCTCTGCCTCTAAATTCAACTGGGAAAAGTTCTCCAATTAAAAACTCAAGTAATTAGATTGGGCATTTTCAGAAAATCCAGGATAATCTCCCCACTGTAAGGTCCTTAGTTTAATCACATCTGCAGTCTCTTTTGCCAGGTAAGGCAGAATGTTCACAGGTTTCAGGGGATTAGCTTGTGGACATCTTTGAGGGGCCTTTTTTTTTTTTTTTTTTTTTTTTCCTACTACAGATGGGATTGTGCTTATCTGTATTGGTTAATCTATTGCTGAGTAACACATTATCCCAAAGTTTAGCATCTTAAAATAATATCTCACAAAGTTTCTGAGAATCAGGAATCCAGGAGTGGCTTAGACTGGATGGTCTGACTTAAGATTTCTCATGATGTAGTAGTCAAATCTGGCTGGGGGATCCACTTCCAAGATGGCTCACCCACTTGACTATTGGTTGCAGACCTTACCACTTGGACCTTGCCGTAGGGCTGCTTGACTTGACCCTAGAGAGAGTGAATGGCCAAGACAAGAGCCACAGTGTCTTTTATAAGCTAAGTTCAGAACTGACATGCAACTCCTCCCTTACTCTGTTAGTCACTCAGACCAACTTAGTGTAATGTGGGAAGGGACTGCGTAACAATGTGTAAACCAAGCTTTGGCCAGTGTGGCTCAGTTAGTTGGGCATTGTCCCATGCACCAAAAGGCTGCTGGTTTGATTCCAGGTCAGGGTACAAGCCCAGGTTGTGGGCTCCATCCTCGGTAGGGGATGTGCAAGAGGCATCCAATAGATGTTTTGCTCTCACATCAATGTTTCTCTCTCTCTAAAAATCAATTAAAATTGAATGTGTAAACTAAGAGGCATAAAAATCACTGGGAGCCTTGTTGGGCTACCATATATTATCTCATATACCAGTAAAGCTTAGATAGTCCATCCATTATTCACACGACAGAATAATTCAGAGTACTCCTGAATACAGGGGCTAGCTTGCTTCATTTCACTCAGGCTGAATCAGGCCTATACTGCCACACTGCTGGTTGTACAAACAAGGTAATGGTAAGTGGCATAGGAGGGAAGTCTCAACTTACTAGTGACTGATCTTCTGGTTTATTCTCTCTTCGTATAGTAAAGGTTCACGAGGAAATTGAAAGGGTCATTGGTGCTGACCGAGTCCCTTCCTTCACTGACAAGGCCCAGATGCCCTTCACAGAAGCCACCATCATGGAGGTGCAGAGGCTGACGATGGTAGTGCCGCTTTCCATTCCACATATGACCTCGGTGAAAACAGGCAAGTCTAGAACTTCCACCTTTGATGGGAAGCCCAGCCCAGGGAAGTTGAGGTGAGGGTATGGTGTCCATCACCCACCTTGATCCTTCTAACAGTTTTTCACTGTATCCTAAATAATCAGGTGTCTAGGGGATGCTTCAGCAGATAGTTGTCCATTATTTGTTGTACTGGCATTCCACACAGCTTGTTTTGTAAATGGCTTGCTCTTCAGAGCCCAGATGCTCACAATGGTCAAACAAGTTAAGTTGACATCTGCGGTGGCCGCCTTGACAGAAGAAACTCTAGTATTGACAAAGGCACCCACCTCTCCATCCTCTTCTTAGGGGCCAGAAGAGCTAGTCAAAATATGGAATTAAGGCCTTTAACACCTTTTTTACTGGTCAGGAGTCAACTGGTGTTTCCACTCACATTAAGTAATTTTAAGGTCTGAAAGCAATGTAGAATTTTAAAAGAGCACTCTAGACTGTTTTCTTAGTTATGTTTGATTAGGCTCAGATTATAAGAGTTGCAAGATACAAGCCACTTCACTGCTGGGCACTTATTTCAGCCGTCCCTAGTTTTCCTCTTTGCTATACCTGCCTTTTTCTCAACTCCTCAGTCGTGACAAGAAATACATCTATTCTTTCTATCCATTTTTGATTATGGCATAAGTTTTTTAAAAAGACGTGTCATGGCAGAAAAGAATGTTAGAGTGAATTATATGCAGACACCGCGTCTGATTGGCCGAGGGACTTTGGTAGTCAGCTGGAAGATAGTACCTTGTCAGAAGATAGTAATGAGTTTGACATTAGACTGCAAAAGAAATGGAAAGTATCCAACAGTGAAAGTGATTCTGAAGAAGAATGGGCAGAAAAAGACATTACCTTGAGGATTATACAAACATTTCAGGCATAACTGTTCAACCTGAAGACCAATAAAGTATAAGTGAAGTAACAAATTTATTTTTTTATAAGAATTTTTTTCAATCTCATTACTTCTCAAACCAATTTATACATTAGCACATGGAAAAATACCACAAAACCTTTGCTAAAACTTCACCATAGATGAAAGTTATTTATATGGATATAAAGAAGTTTCTTGGTTTAATTATATATATTTTTAAATCTTTATTTTAAAAAGATGTTCCTACCCTTACCCCCCCCCCCCCCATAGCTCCCCTCCACTCGGTTCCGACCCCACTCCAGGCCTCCCCTCTTCTTCCCCCACCCACTGACCTCATCCATAGGTGTAAGCTCTTTGTCCAATCTCTTCCGGAAGTCCCCATAACTCCTTGCCCCCAAGAACTGTCAATCTGCTCCATTTTCATGGCCCTGATTGTATTACATTCACTAGTCTGTTCTGTTCATCAGGTTTTTTATTCATTCGATTTTTAGGTTTACTTGTTGATAGATATGTATTTGTTGTCACTTTGTTGTTCATAATTTTTTATCTTTACTTTTTTCTTCTTCTTCCTCTTAGAGAATACCCTTTAGCATTTCACACAGTACTGGTTTGGTGGGGATGAACTCCTTTAGCTTTTTCTTATCTGTGAAGCTCTCTATCTGACCTTCAATACTAAATGATAGCTTTGCTGGGTTGAGTAATCTTGTTTGTAGGTTCTTGCTATTCATCACTTTGGATATTTCTTGCCACTCCCTTCTGGCCTGCATAGTTTCTGTTGAGAAATCAGCTGACAGTCATATGGGTAACTAACTGTTTTCTCTTGCTGCTTTTAAGATTTTCTCTTTGTCATTATGCTGTGTCTTGGTGTGACCCTCTTTGAATTTCCTCTTGTTTGGGGTTCTCTGTGCTTCCTGGACTTGTAAGTCTAGTTCTTTTACCAGGTCGGGGAAGTTTTTTGTTATTATTTCTTCAAATAGATTTTAAGTATCTTGCTTTCTCTCTTCTTCTGGCACCCCCATAATTTGGATGTTGGTACAGTTGAAGTTTTCCCAGAGGCTCCTTACACTATCTTCATATTTTTGGATTCTTTTTTCTTTTCCAGTTGGGTGTTTTTTGCTTCTTTGCATTTTAAATCTTTGACTTGATTCTTGGGATCCTCTAGTCTGTTGTTGAATCTCTGTATATTATTCTTTATTTCAGTCAGTGTATGCTTAATTTCTGATTGGTCCTTTTTCATATCCTTGAGGGTCTCACTAAATTTCTCAGAGGTTTCTAGAAGATTCTTTTAAAAAAAAAATATATATATATTTTATTTTTTTACAGAGAGGAAGGGAGAGGGAGAGTTAGAAACATCGATGAGATAGAAACATTGATCAGCTGCCTCCTGCACACCCTCTACTAGGGATGTGCCTAAAACCAAGGTACATGCCCTTGACTGGAATCAAACCTGGGACCTTTCAGTCCACAGGTCAGCACTCTAGCCAAACCAGTTTGGGCATCTAGAAGATTCTTAAGTAACCTTATTACCATGGTTTTGAACTCTATATCCAGTATTTTGCTTTCATCCATTTCTTTCATTTGTGACATGTTTCTTTGTCTCCACATTTTGGCTGCTTCCCCGTGTTTGTTTCTATGTACTGGGTAGCTGCTAAGTCTCCTTGAGTTGATAGAGTGGCCTTGTGTGGTAGGTGTCCTTTAGGCCTAGTGGCTCAGCCTCCCGTCACCTGAGGTGGATGCTCTTGGTGCACCCCTTTGTGGGCTGTGTGCACAGTCTTGTTGTAGTTAACTTTTAATTGCTGTTAGTATCACTGGGAGGAATTGACCTCCAGGCCAACTGGCTGTGATGACCAGCTGTTTCTACACTAGAAGATCTGTTGTGTAGGAGACACCCTTATGGGGCAGGACTTGCTTCATTTGGGGCTTTGGTGCTGAGTCTGCCCCTTGAGTGTGTCTCTTATAGATGTAAAGAGTTGTAATCCAGTATGGTCTCATTCTGACCTGGGTACACTGGCTCTCGGATCTCCAAGGAGGTGCAAGGTCAGCCACTGTCTAGGGTCACCTAGCAGGAGCTACAGAGAGATCTGCAAATTCCTCCTCTTTATATGGGGTTTGGAAGTGCCCAGATGAGGCCCAACTCTGAAGCAAGGCAGGCTGCTGCTGCTGGGTCTTGGGCCTTCTTTTAGAAGCTCTGGGGCTCTCTGACTCAGCTACAGTTTGACAGGTTTTAGGCAGAGAAAGGACATGCAATTCATGTGCAAAAGCTGCTGTGCACAGCTTGGGTGGGGTTGTAAATTGGGTGGGGTGCGGTCTCTGGGAATCACCAGGGTGGAGCAAACAGCAATGGCTTCCAGTCAGCCCTGCACTGGAGAGGTCCCCGGGTCTCTACCTCCCGTGTCCCCGTGCAAGAACAATGATTGCTGTGAGCACCTCTGAGAGAAAGTGGCCCTTGCATTCCTGTCACAATGCCAGACAGTCCAGTTTCTCCCCGAATGAATCTGGGTCTCCCAGAGTCACACAGAACTGGAATTCAGAGCAGGCAAGAGCTTGTATCTCCTTCCCAATTCGAAAAGCAGCACACCGGGTGCCAGCATTTTCTGTGCCTCTGCACAGTCTCAATGCACCTTCTTCACCTCTCTAGTTGTGGAACTTCCACTTAGCTAGCTTTCCCGCGGTTCTGGGTGGTAGTTGTTCTGCATTTAGTTGTAATTTTGATGTGGTGGTAAGAAGTAGCAAGTATAGGTGTTTATCTATGCCGCTATCTTGATTCTCCTTGGTTTAATTATATTGATGGGACTAACGAAAAAGCCAGAATGAAAAGATTACTATTCAATCACTCATAGTTCCAAAAAACTATGTTTATAGCAAGAGGTTTGAGTAAACACTTAACATTCTCTCATCTGAATGATAATTTACAAATAACATGTAACATAGACCGTCTTTACACATCACTTTATCTCGAAACTTAAATCTTTATATGTACCAAAACAGCAGTTATCACTCAATGAAGCAACAATTCCATGGAGAGGATGCATCAGATTCAAGATGTATTATCCAGCAAAAGTAATAAAATGTGGAATTTTAGTAAGGATGCTTTGTGAAAGTAAGAGTGGCTATATTTGCAACTTCAAGATATATATGGGTGAAGGCAAAAAGTACAACAGATTATCTGTCTTATGGCCTTTTCTTGGTTCTTGGCATCATATTTACCAAGATAAGTACTACAATAGCATGTTTTTAGCTGAACTATTATTGAAGAACAAAACACTGGTTTGTGGAACAAAAAGAGAGAGCCATGGGTTGCCAAAACTACTAAAAGTAGCTGGCCACAAGAGCAAGTTCTGGCTCCAAATAGCTGGCCAGCAAGATGTTAATTTGGAATTATCCCACATCAGTTGTTACAATTCTGCGACTAAAGAATAAATATTAAAGAGTTGGAAGAGCCCTTTTGATTTTAAGGGTACCTGTTTCAACCTCTCACAGTGAAATGTGTCCTTTTGGTTATGCCCTTGACATACAGGGTGGGGAAAAAGTAGGTTTACAGTTGCTCATATGAAAAATAATACAATTAATAAACAATAATACAAGAATAAACTGTGTTTCACGAACTTCAACTGTAAATCTGCTTTTGCCCAACCTGTATAGGCACTCAAATTCACTTGTAACAAGGAATTTACTTCCCAGGAGACAGCTCATGATGTAGCAGCTTAAATTAATTATGAGACTGTTGTAGGAGGCAATCACTTATAAATGGCATTAGAGCATTTAACAATTTCTTTGGTACAAATTAAATTTACTGTGTGTGCGGTATCTTTGGGGCATCTCTTAAAGTGCATATGAATTTTTCTGCCAATTAAGAGGCAATGCTGACTTCCCTGTACATCCCTTTACCTTATTGTTACCTTTCTCATTATTGTGTGGACATAAAAGACTGTAAAATATAAAGTTTTATACAAGTACTAGAGGTCTGGTGCATGAATTCGTGCATGGGTGGAGTCCATCTGGCCTGCCCCAGCAAGGGGAGGGGCCGCTGGTGGTTGGCAGGCCAACCCCTCCCCCAATTGGGGTGGGCAGGCAATTAGAGGGGGGATGGCTTGGGGGGAAAGGCTAAGGGCAGTCAGTGGGCCAGCTCTGCCCCCTCACTGATCTCCAGGTCAGACTCCTGGTGGAGGGGACAATTTGCATATTAGCCTTTTATTATATAGGATTAGAAATTTCTATTCTTTGGGAAAGTTTAATTGGTATGCCCTGTGATTTCTATGTGTTTTCTTTTCATTATAATGTTGTTATGGTTTGATCTAATGCATTAATTCAGCATCCGTTGAAACAACTCTCAAGCTGGATCCTGGGGTAGTATGGAGAAAGGGATGCCAAGTGGTAAGGTCTTGCCCCTGCCTGCAAGTACCTCAAATTTAGTCTCAGCAAATTAAGAGCTTGGTATGTCACTAGGTATTTTTTAGATCTCAATGTTTAAAGAACTATTAGTAAAAAGTATGCTGAATGACCCTGTTTTTGTTTGTTTGTTTTAGTGCTCCAAGGTTATACTATTCCTAAAGGCACAGTGATACTGCCCAACTTGTGGGCAGTGCACAGAGACCCAGCCATTTGGGAGAAACCTAATGATTTCAACCCTACTCGATTTCTGGATGAGCAAGGACAACTTATTAAAAGAGAAACGTTTATTCCTTTTGGGATAGGTCAGTTACCTTTATTTTCTTAATGGCATAATTAAAAATGAATGAGAACCAAAAGAATATTTTATTATTTCATAATACTGTTTTAAAAATGTTTCTTTCCGGGCAAGCTAATATAAGAGATAAATCATTTAGATAATAGATCTCCACTATGTTCATTTCAGATTTTAAAAACTAAGGGAAAGCAATTTGGTTTTAAATCTTTAAATATGCCTAGGAATTGTTATCTCTGAACTGTTCTAGTGATTGATTGTGTGCCAAGGAACTGCTGAAGTTCAGAGCAGCTTTTGACTGTCTGATGGCTGGTGGGTGAGAGGAGTTCTCTATTCTCAACAGCTGCTCCTTTAGGTTCCTAGAGAAGGAATACTCTGGAGAGTCTTAATCTGATTTATTTTTTCCCTAATCATCCAGGTAAGAGCACAGGAAAGAAATAAGTAGGTATATAACTAGGAGGAGATAAGAATCAGATCTGTCTCTAGTTGCTGTCTAGAATGAAAATAGATTTTTATGAGTAGGAGTTAAAATGTGAGCTTCGTATGTAAAAATTCTAATCAGCCTTACTGTGGGAAGTCATGTGGCATATGTGGCAATTTTATTTAAAATTTTTAATCAGCATTACTGTGGGAAGTCATGTGGCATATATGGCAATTTTATTTTAAAACTCTATATCTGTATTTAGAACAATTTAGATATTTCATATAAATGTGTCCTTTTAGAGACAGGAAAAGAGATGATATTATAATGCTTTTTTTTTTTTTTCCTGCTCTTATTTTAGGGAAGCGGGTGTGTATGGGAGAGCAGCTGGCAAAGATGGAACTATTCCTGACGTTTGTGAGCCTGATGCAGGGTTTCACATTCGCTTTACCTAAGGATTCTGAGAAGCCCAATCTGACTGGAAAATATGGTCTAACTTTAGCCCCGAATCCATTTAAAATAATCATTTCAAAGAGATAAAGAACATCTCTGAAAGGAGATGGTGAACAGGATGTAAATACATGTCTTTCTAAACACATTCTTCTTTCTGCACTTGACAGTGGATCCAGCAACTTAGCGGATCCAGGTTAGGCTCAGGTTGGAGACTAAAAAGAGGGTAGAACGTATGGGAGATTTCATCTCCGGGCTCCTCAGCAGGATACTTCAGCCATTTTAGTAACGTCTCTCTGTGGTTTAGGGAATGGGGTTAGAGGACTGGATTGGGAAGCAGGAGATCTGGATTTTATTCCCAGTGGCTTCTACCAATGAGCATTTCTTCTCATCTCAGTGCCTTAGTCATTTCATGTGGTAACAAAACTTGCCTTCTCTCTCTCAGCATTAAGACAGTCAAATGCCCTATACCTTTCCTAACATCATCAAAACACTGTTAAGTTCTGAAGAACACATTTAGGAATGGAAGGAAGACCGACCTATTTCAGACCTGTGGCAACATGAAAGTGGAGCTCAGACGTAAATACTTTGTCAGAAAAGGATGTGAGTTTAGACTGAGTTAGAGCTTTCCTTGCCACAAATCCTGTGCCAGTTTGGGGGTGGGGGGGTGAGGGGGGGTGAGGGTTGTTCTTGTTAATCTTTCTGTAATTTTAGTTTTTACTTTTTGTAGACATGGGAGGAAGTGGACCCTGGTCCAGTGATGTTGAGGAAAGGTCATGAATTTATATGTCTATCTTATATTTCAACTACATGACAGTCAGACTAGCTGAAGACGTGGCTTCATGGCAGAATTCCTTTCTGCTGAGTTTACTTGCAAAGATACAGCTCTACCTTTTGGCTTGAGCCCTAAATAGTGAGCTTGGGAATTTTGATACTAGGATTCAGATTGTAGTGAATTCTTCCCTATTCTCCCTGCCACCAGGCTTAATGTATTGCATCCTTAAATACAACCAAGAAATTATTATTTGTATTAAAATAATTGTTTCTTAATAAAGAAGGCCCCTCTAGAAGAGCAGTTCTCAATAAAGGTAACGATCTCTTTTGTGGGGAGGGAGGGTGTTTGGAAATATATGGGTGTATTTTTTATTATCACAATGATGGGAGTGTTATTGGCCTTTGATGCCTTAGGATCCGATGCCAAATGTCTGAGCAATTCTGTACAAGAACTGTCCTGCCCAGTATGCCAGTATTGCTCCCAATGAGAACACAGTCCAAAGAATGATGAGCCTTTTCCTTTATTCATCCACAGTCTCCTTCCTTATGTAGAAGTAATCATGATAATAATATAAACAACTAGATTTTTTAGCCTTTCCTTCTGCTGGTACCATATTTAGTGCTTTACTTGTAGGCATACATAATCCTTACAGATTATTAGGAAGATGCCATTTTGTAGCTGATAAAGCTAAAACTTAGATGTTTAGGTACCTAGTGAAAAGACTCGTTTCAAATTTACCAGTCTTTGTGCCTGGAGAGTTCTCTCTAAACCACTTCTCTGTACTGCCACCACTTGATCCCTAGCAGTCTACCTACTCTCTGCACTTTCAATATGGACAAATGAAACATAGGCTAATCTTTAGGTGCCTTGAGGATTTTTGTTAATAAAGAAAACACAACTAATAAACTAAATGCCCTGGAACAAACTGTACGTAAATGGAGAGGCTGTGATATGGATTTTAGATAAGATACATGTGTGGATTAAAGTGCACCTTGAACAGGACAGTTTGTTACTGATCTGGAATTTCATAGGCTTTTGAATTGCACAGGTAATTTGGGATTAACAAATTTCTTACTCCTTAATTTTATACAAGCTTAATTTCAACTTTCCTAACAAAACAGTTCATAGCTTACTTGAGGAAAAAACTGTTTTATGTGTGACTATGTTGAAATCAGATGTTTATTAAACTCTTAAATATAATATCTCAGTGTAGCACTTTAAAACAGCTTTATATGGCTAGTCACCAAAAAGGCTATTAATGCTTTCCTTGCTCATGTTGACATTTTATACTTTATGATTTGTTGAAATGTAAAAACTGTAGCACTTTGTTTTATAAATTTGCCTAATATCTAATTTTTAGTCTTCATCTTTAGCATAGTTTTTATGCTTTTATTAAACATTTTAGTTTAACTCTAATAGTCTCATGTGTTTTTTGTTGTTGTTTCTTGTTTTTTTTTTAACTGCTAAACCAAATTCTGTTTTACCAGATGTCAAGTTAGGAAATGGAAGAGGGAGTAAACCTCCAAAAAAAAGGAGATAGCCACAGTATTATATAAACATTTAGACAGTTGGGTAATATACTTATTCTCACAACTGTATCACAGCCCAAGTTTCTTATTTTCAAAGTCAAAGTTCAGCATTATTTAAGGAAAGGATGAACCTAAACAAGCTCCTGTGGCAAAGTATTTTAAAAAAAATTTTTTAATTTATTTTTCAATTATAGTTGAATATACATTATACTAGTTTCAGATATACAACAGTGCTTAGTCATTCATATAACTTATAATGTGATCACTCTAATAAATCTAGTACCCCTGTGACACTATGTATAGTTTCAGTATTATTGACTACATTCCCTAAGTTGTATTTTACGTTCCTGTGACTATTTTTATGTGGCAATTTGTACTTCTTAAACCCTTTTATATTTTTCACTCATTGCTCCAACCCTCTCCCATCTGGTGACCATCAATTTATCTTTATTCATGAATTAGTTTCTGATTTATTTTGCTCTTTAGATTTCACATGTAAATAAAACTGCATGGTATTAGTCTTTCTTCGTCTGATCTATTTCAGTCAGCATAATATGCTTTAGGTCCATCCATGTAGTTGCAAATGGCAAGATTTCATTCTTTTTTATAGTTGAGTGATATTCCATTCTATATAAGTACCACATCTTCTTTAGCTACTCATCTATCAATGGACACTTAAGTTGCCTCTAGATCTTGGCTACTGTAAATAATGCTGCAATAAACATAGGATTGTATGTATCTTTTTGAATTTGTGTTTTGGATTTCTTTAGATAAATATCCGGAAGTAGAATTGCTGGGTCACATGGTAGTTATATTTTTAGTTTTTAGAGGAACTTCAATACTGTTTTTCATAGTGACTGCACCAATGTACAACGCCAACAATGCACGAAAAGTTCCCTTTCCTCCACATACTCGCCAACACTGTTTATTGTTTATTGATGATAGACATTCTGACAGGTGTAAGGTGATACCTCATTGTAGTTTTAATTGCATTTCTTTGATGATTAGTGATGTCATGAGGCTTTCTGTTTTCTTCTAAGAGATGTATAGTTTTAGTTTTTATGTAAAGTTTATTTTATCCATTTTGAGTTCATTTTTGCACATGGCAGGAGGTAAGGATCGAACTTCATTCTTTTACATGTGGATACAGTTTTCCGAGCACCATTTGTTGAAAAGATTGTCTTTTCCCCATTGAATGGTCTTAGTAGTTTATTGAAAATGAGCTACCATATATGCAACTTGTTAAATACTACCTTTTAAAATAATGAATCATAAAACTGTTGTGTACTAACAGCAGAATGAACAAATGAAATAAAATAGAAAGCACAGACCTATATATTCTAGTGTATAAATGTGGCAGCACCCTATGAAGGAACAGAAAACAATATTTAAAAAACAGTGCTAGAGTAACTGGTTATTTATAAAATTAAAGTAACATTTTTTCCCACTTCCCATACATCAAAATTAACACCCAAAAGTCTAAAAAGTAATAATAATGCATTTGTATATATGTATGAGACTTTTGATATAAGAATGGGGAGCTTCTTTTCTCCCTTCCAAGTACAAACCAGGCTCAACCCTGCTTAGCTTCTGAAATCAGACGAGATTGGGTGCATTCAGGGTGGTATGGCCGTAGACGGGAGCTACTTTCCTAACATAAAAAAGTAGTTGACTCAATCATAAAAATAAAGCAGAATAGATATAATGATATAAAAATAAAAAAACTATTGCCAAAATATAATTGGCAAACCATAAAAATTATTGTATCATCTTTGGCAAAACGTTAATATCCTTAATGTACAAAGTGTTAATAATAATAAGCAGCAGAGACAAAAAAAAGTTGAAAATACAAATGACCAATATATGAAATAATATTTAAATTATTCAAAAATGCAACTAAACAGTACGATACTATTTTTTACCCACTGGAATTTAAAGGTAATTTTACAGAAGAAAATAATTGATAAATGAGATGCATTCATATACTATATTGGCAATATAGACTGGAACTACATTTCTGGATAACACAAGTATAAGCACAAGGGTTCTTAAAGTATCTGTTTCTAAATGAGTGGTATACCAGACTTGATCCTGGAACAAAATACTATATTAAGGGGAAAAACAACAATAGTGAATCCCAATCAAGTATGGAGTTTAGTTAATAGTACTGTACCATTTTAATTTCTTATTTTTTGGCAAAGGTATCATGGTTATGTAAGATGTCAAACTCAAGGGAAGCTGGGTGAGGGGGATATGTGAACTCTCTATACTAGGGGTGTCGAACTCAATCAGAGAAGGGGCCAAAATCTAAAATCCAGCCTAAATCACGGGCCGAATGGTTTACTGAACAGTCATAAACTGTCATTGTGATGGAAACACAGTGGAGTGCAATGATGACAGCGCGGTGCGGGCCACATTGCAAGGCCTGGTGGGACGGATTTGGCCCGCGGGCCTTGTGTTTGACACATGTGCTCTATACCATCTCTGCATATTTTCTATAAGTCAAAAATCATTGTAGGACAGTGAACAGCATGGTGATGTGAAGGACCTCCAGGTCTCTCCTCCTGAAGTTATAAATTGGACGACTCTAAATCTACAAAGGATAACCTGCTGACACTCATTGAGACACCTGAATGTGGGCATATCTGAGTAAGTGGCAGAGACAGGACTGGGGGTGAAGGGAAGATAGAGACAGAAGCCATGTGCAGTCTGGTGCCTACTCTGGCCTCAGCAGACAAGAGAGCAGTGATCAGAGTTGGGTTGTAACCTCCACGAGGCAAACTAGAGGGGCAGAGGCAGTAATTGGGCCTGGGTGGCTGGCACACATTGAGGCTGGGCCAAGAAGCAGAGTAGCAGTATAAAGGGTTCCAGCATTCCTTATCTCACTAGCACCAGACAGAGGATTTAGCAGAGCTGGGAACCAGCCCACTCCACCCACCTGTGACCTAATCTGGCCTTAAAATCCTTACTTGGCTGAAAAAAACTTTTCAGCTTATGTGGTCAATGAACAGCATGGCGATGTGATGGTCTGTATCCTTTGTGTCCAAATCCACTGAAGAGAAACAGAGTACCAGATATGTGAACTTGCCTACCTTTCCCCACCCACAGCAGCATAACCTGGTAGAGGCAGCTGGGTCCACTCACCCAGCAGCTCTGGCTGGCGGCTTTTGGCTACAGGAAGGGAGCATCAGGAACATACAGAAAACCCATACTCCGCCATTTCAAATCTATGGAGTGACAGATACAATGAGACAGAGGCAACCCAATGTAAAGGGAATGCTCACCTCCTTAGAAAATACGGGGTATTTTTCATGGCTGAAGTACACCACTCCAGAGATTCCAGATAAATTTGTACTTTATCACCACCTACTGGAAAACAAAAGAAAAGCCTCTACTTAACAACTTGCTAAACACTGAAGTGGTGAGTAATTTTTAAGTTTCCATTTCCACAAATGCTCAGGCAAAGAAGTAATCTACAAAGCACAATGAATAACCAAGTTAACATGGGCATTTAGAAAAAAAAAAATCTCCAGGAAATAAAGGCATTGCATACTGTGACTTAAGTGACAGAGAATTCAAGATTTTGTTTTGTTTTGTTTTGTTTTTAAACACACTCGATGAGGTACAAGAAAACTCAGAAAAATGATTCAACATGCTCTAAAATAAAATTAATGGACAAAAAAATATTTCACCAAAGAGACTAAAGCTATAAAAAAAGAACTAAACAAATTCTGAGCTAAAGAACTCAAAAAAATGAGATCAAGAATGAACTAGCGACCTTATGAAATTGAGCAGACTAGATAGAGGAAAGAATTAGTGGTATAGAAGACAGAAATTTAGAAGTGACCCAGGTGGAATAAGAGAGAATCAAGAGTAAAAAAAAAAAAAATTGCCGAAACCGGTTTGGCTCAGTGGATAGAGCGTCGGCCTGGGGACTCAAGGGTCCCAGGTTCGATTCCGGTCAAGGGCATGTACCTTGGTTGCGGGCATATCCCCAGTAGGGGGTGTGCAAGAGGCAGCTGATCGATGACTCTCTCTCATCGAGGTTTCTAACTCTCTATCTCTCTCCCTTCCTCTCTGTAAAAAATCAATAAAATATATTTTTTAAAAAAGAGAGTAAAAAAATAAATAAAAAGAAAGAACTCTACAAGAACTATCTGACTCCATTAGGTAGAGCAATATAAGAATAATATATATACCAGAAGGAAAAATGTGGGAGAAGGGAACTAAGAGCCTATTAAGTTTTATTAATCAATCTTACCCCAAATAAATTCAACAAAATGCTAAGAATAAAAGAGTCTATTCAAATAAATAATCAACAGAAACCTCCCAAATATATGGAAAGAATTGGATCCTCAAATCCAAAAAAGCTAATAGAACACCTAATTATTTAAATCCATAAAGGCCTTCTCCAAGGCATAATATATTAAAACTATCAAAACTAACGACAAAGAAAGAATTCTAAGGCCAAGGAATAGAAGATGAGAACATATAAAGGAAACCCTATTATAATATATCATCAAATTTTCCAGCAGAGACCCTATAAACTAGGAGACCATGGAATCAAATATTTGAATTATCGAAAGAGAGAAATCATCAACCAGTAATAATATATTCAGTAAAGTAATGCTTTAGATATGAGGGAGAAATTCCAGATATACAGAAATTGAGAGAATTTACCACCACAAGACCTGCTTATACTACTAAGAAATGTTGAGAATTCCAATCAAGATGGTGGTATAGATAAACATGGCACTCACATCGTCTCACAACCATATCAAAATTACAACTAAATCACAGAACAACCATCATTCAGAACTGCCTAAAATTTAGCTGAATGGAAGTCCTACAACCAGGGATTTAAAAAAGCCACAACGAGACTG